ATATCGCCAAAACGAACGAATTGGCGATTGCGTAGCGAGGCATGCCAAAAACACCTTCCTATTGATCAATGTAAATTTGTAGTTCATGCACAACGAAAGAATTAACTTATTTGTTTTTAAATATATTTAAAAAATTAACTTTTATATTTTCTTTCAATTTTTTAGTGTAAAATCTTTTTTCCAGAATTTGTGTAACTTTTCTGTTTATGCATACATGAAATATCGCCAAAACCAACGAATTGCGTAGAGAGGCATGCCAAAAAACACCTTCTTATTGATCAATGTAAATTTGTATATCATGCAGCAACGAAGGAATTAACTTATTTATCTTTAAATAAATTGAAAAATTCATTTTATATTTTCTTTCCGTTTTCCGTTCCGCGTTTTAGCAACACCCAAAATTAAGGGCCTCAATAGGTGAGAACAGCTGTGTACCAAATTATTGGTCACTAATTACTGTATATACACAGCCACAGGCGATAACAGGTGTTTTAAGGTGTAGATGACGACACGCTAATTACCGTGTGCATATTTAAGTCATTTTTTGAAAAGTTTTTGATAAAAATATGTACTTTGAAATAAGAAAAAATACACATCCGTGTAACCGAGTACCATTTTTAGTATTCGATACTCGGACGTTCGATCGAGTACCCGGTTAACCGGGTACTCGTTGACATCCCTACTAAAAACGTAACATTTTGTACCAAATGACTCAATAAGCCATATTTCAAGGCACATTTCTGCAAATCAAAACACAATATCGATCGGAAAAATATGTCAATTCCTATATCAGAATCCATCAATAGAATGCTAAAATATTATGTTATATTAAAGACATGCGACCAGATTCTCCAGATTCCTGCCGAATCCAAATCAAAATCGCTCTGGCTCGTTCTTTGGTAATGAGAGAAGTTGGATCCCCCCCCCCCCCAAGAAATAGGATTTTCAACTTTGGACCTTTTTTTGCTTGCAAGTTTTTTTCTTTTAGGTAAGTCGAAATTTCAGTTTTTTCACAGTCTGTCCCTTTCAAAAACGATACTACGTGCCGTATTTAAAATCTTTTCTCCGAACTCGACAACAAATCAACAGCGTGTTTTTTTTTTTTTTTACTATACTCAAAGCGTTTTGACTTTCTTTTAAATATGAATCATCTAAAACAATTTCACTATTTAATGTGAGCCTTTAACCCTGTCTTTGGGATATAGTCTTTCAATTTTAGCCTTAAATGTTTATTATTATTATTTATTGCTGAAGACATACATGTAGATCATATTGCGTTTCAACAATAACATACAATACAAAATAATACGCAATGCCATTGTACAAGGCGGTTTTTAGAGATTACACATATTTGATACAATTATAATGATTTCATGGAGAATTATCATATCATATAAGAGAAAACTTTCTCTCAACTTAAAAGCATAATAGATATATTTCCCAAAATTGCAGAGATCATGAACGTTGTGAGCACTTAATAATTGTACAAATTTAAAAACGGATGGCTTCTGCCAGCAATACTTCTTGACATATTTTTAGCTCAACGGAGCCAAAGGCTCAAGTGAGCTTTTTTGACCGAAATTTGGCACAGAGTATTCTTGAGTAAGGAGGATTCAAATTTGTTCAAATGAAGGGCTACACCCTTTTCCAAGGGGAAATAAGTATGAAATAGTGGAAAAGAAATGGCATCACAAAAATCTTCTTCTAAAGAACCATTGGTCCAGAAAATATCAGACTTATGTAGAAGCATCCTCTGATAGTGTAGATTCAAGTTTGTTCAAATCGTGACCCCCAGGGTCAGGGTGGTGCCACAATGGGCGATCAAATTATGTTATATTAGAATTAATATGAAAAATCTTTAAAAATCTTCTTCTCAAGAACAGCAAAGTCATGATTAGTAATATGTATGAAAGCATCTTTAGGTAGTACAGATTCAAATTTGTCCAAAGCATGACCGCTGGTGATAAGGGGGCAGGAAGGGGGGGCACAATGGGCTATCAAACTTTTACATAGGAATAGGAAGAATCTGCAAAAATCTTCTTCTCAAGAACAGCAAAACTATAATTGGTCATATGCAGGCAAATTAAAAACAAAAATGTATTCATCATCTACTTCACTTTTACGCATTCTACATATTCTATACTCTCCCTAAGAATTTTATAGGTCCGCGCAGGATTTTGCGCGGACCTAATAATATAGTACTATTCATATCTCAGGATTGTAAAATTGAACATTTCTTCTTCAGTGTTATAATTACAAATGCTGATACTTGTACTTACCTGTATAAATAAAAATGAGTTGAGTTTTATTCAATAGTTTTACCTGACAGTGTGCCATTGAAACCTCCGCTAGAGTCGGGAACTTAGAAATGTCAAATTTCAAAGTTGACCATTTTTTGCTGACATTACTTTGTTGTTAAAAAAAAAACTTTACCTGTGAAAAAATATCCGCAAAAATGTTTAATGAATTATGAAAGGAAACTGTTTTACTTCATTTGAAATGTTTATAAATTTTCCACTGAAATGTTCGTTCACGCCTTATGCAAGTCATTCGCCCACGCAACTCCTTTTATGTTGGTTCAGGTATTGTGATTTAATTATATAGTCGGCTTTACAAAACGCAATGAGTGTTTGAAAAAAAATGAAATATTATCAAATAATATTTTTAAAAAGTCGTAGACAGTATAATTCATTTATTAGCATTACCAGCTGATCAGAGTGCCCTTTACCTAACACTCATCTAAAATTGCGGAAATGGCATACAGCGATTCGCATGACTGCAAATTGTACAGATAGAGGGGAGTCGTAAAACAACATGATGGGGTATATGGGTATATATATCTATGTAAACAAGTTTCACACTTTCTTTTCTTTCTTTTTTTAACAAAGAAACAGAATAATTACGTGTAATTCCATGGATTACTGCATTGGTATTAATTCCGTATTTTGGGATTTCTTCTAAATTTATATACGTATAAATCCTGTTGTATCGTATAACCCGATAAGAGAAAGAAAAAATCCAACTTATTTATAAATATTATTTAATTATAAACAAAGTTTTTAAAAGGGTGTTTGGATGCCCGGAACTTATATTACCCCACCTCTGATGATTTTTCGATGAAATCCTTGCTTCTGATTGGTTGAACTCTGTCACGTGAAGGGGGTGTATTACTTATACCTAGTCGCTTGAAAATCAATACATGGTTGATGCGGAGCTATCGTTCTTTAGTAACACTTCAAACAACTCGAGTTCACGAGGTTTGCGGGTGTCTGTTGATAAGTAAAAAGTTAATCAACGTAAGTAACGAGATATAACCTTTTTCTCACTTTACCTGTTTACTGAAAGTCTTCGAAACAGTACTGTCAGTACGTTATGAAACACTCGCACCCCAAGAAATCCCGTCCGATTTAGCTTTGAGCTGAACTCAATACAAGTGCTATTAACGCTAATCACCGATATTCCCCTAAGAGTGATTCGAGACAATTTATGGCAGAATCTTGTAGAGGTGGATCTAAAAAAAAATACTTTTAAAAATATTTTCCTCGGATGTCACTGATAATTATAGCATTTATTTCCTTTAAAATGCTCAATCTTATTTTGCTACCACGCGTTCTTCTACCTTTTTGCATGTGGAATTTATTTAAATTTTATTTAGAATTAATTAAATATATCTTGAAATTTAGCGATTTCTTTTTTATTATAGCCTTAAAATATTTTTAAATCTAAGGAGAATCTATAGTGTATAAAAAAAATCCCTCTAAGACATCGTGAGTTACCCCATACCCTGCATATTTAACCTTGAGAAGAAGGTAAACATGGCCTATTTACACCCTTCCTACTACGCATTCAAAGGCAATATTTCTCAATATTTGAAATTTTAATTCTTTTCCCCCAGACACTCTCCTTCCCATCTATGCCCTAAAATCAGCCCATTCCACCCCGTATACATCCGAAGAAATATTTATGAAAAAAACTCAGTGTTTTTATATGGCACTACTTGCGCGGTCAATGAAAAGGGGTAAAATTAGTAACCTGTGATACGCTTATACTTTCTAAAAAAAAAAAAAAAAATAAGGGTTACAAACTCAAACATGTATTTTAATTTCCTTTTTATTTTAATTTGTTTATCGTTTACTCGTTTATTTTCTATAATTATATGTTTCATTTTAAACTCGTTATTATTATTATTGAGCACGCAGGAAATTGAAATCACGCCCCCCCCCCTCCAATGAAAGGCCTTTTGTTCTTTTAAAGCTTTAATTTTAAATCTGAAAAAATGTTGGATCCTTCCCTCAACAGTGCTGCCATCATTTGTCAATTGCGCTTTGGTTGAATTCAGTCTAAAGCAACACCGGAGAAAATATTCACAGAATTTCTTCCTATGGCAAAACAACATTACGTAACACAACGTGACGTCATAATAGGCATTGTATGACTGATAAAACATATATAGCGGAGAAAAACAATTTTAAAAGCCACAGACAATACATAAATATTTCATCGGTGGGGTAAATTCGTTACATAGTTTTGTAGTGACAGGGTACGGGATGATACCTGGTTAGTAAATTTCATACCTGGCGAGGCGAAGCGTTCCAGCCGGAGCGCTAAGTTACCCGGAACGTAAATTATGCGACCCCCCCCCCCCCACTTCAAAATATGGACGGAAATATATATTTCTTATCATGTGTATATGTTCTATAGATATTAATTACTTAGTCAGGCAAGCTTTTTGAAAAGCTATACTTGTTTTGCTTGTCAAGGAATTTTTGGGTTGGAATTTTTTTTTGGACTGGGATCCCCCCTCTCCTAGAAAAAATTCCTGGATCCGCGCCTGTACATGCTTAAGTTTATCTTAGGACTATCCTAAAATTTTCCAAAGATTATTATTAGGAACTTTAAGACAATTCTTAGGAAAATTTTGTAAACATGCCTGCTGGTGTGAAATGTGGGGGCGAAAAGTCACAGAGCTAATCGTCGAGGGGAACGAAACCATCCAACAGTCCTAAAATTGGTGAAGGAGTGAAGGACGTATGATCGTTATTGTAAAAACCGAGAAGATTCAAGATGGGAATTGGTCATGACTTTTGTGATGATGCTCTATGGGTAACTATCAATATTAGCCATTGTACTTGTATCTTAAAATGAGACGCCATATTTTTAAAAGCGGCCTACTTTTAATACAGGCATAAATTAAGGACACGTGCCATAAGTCACCGGCAAAAATGGCGTCACGGCGTTTGTTTACGTTGTGTTACGGTAGCAATGCCAGACCAAAATTAAAAAATATGCTTGTAGAGTTTTCTGCAATTGTATTTTGTAGTTTAATGATAAAACATTGCTTTTCTTAAAAAAAAATTAATAAAATATTTTAAAATGGGTATTTGTTATACACATTCTTAGGGTAACCCCCTTGGCAGTAAAAGAAGAATTTTTCCCGTTTATCAAAGAAAGTTGTCCCAGCTTTGAAACTTGAAAAATATTTGATTTCTGGCAATTTTTTTTTCATTAATGTGTTTTTATACATTCCTTCTTATAAAATAAGGCAGTAACCACTTACCAAATATTAATTTAATATCCAGAATGTCCTTTGAAAATGACCAGTGTGACCCTTTTCAATGTGACAATCAATGAAAAGTGAAAGAAAACTTGTATTACAACAAAATTACTTTATATATAAGTAAAATATTGAGATGCCATCCATATTTCATCCATTAAAAAAGTTATAATTATTGATGTGGGAAGTAAATGAAATTCATGCATACATGTATTATATTGAAATGTATTTATATTACTAATTTATGTACAATATATTCAATTTGCATAAATTTCATTTACTGCTGACATCAATAATTATACATGTAACTTCTTTTTATAAATGATAAATGGATGGAATTTCAATATTTCAATTATTTACAAGTCATCTATAAATATTCTTTCAATTTTCAGTGATTGTGACATTGAAAACAGGTCACATTATTAATATTACTAGTACGAATATTTCTGGTCAGGGTATGAAACAGGATTTTCAACTTGAATTCAAATTAACAAAGTAGGAAAAGAATCATACTGAAGAACCATCACCATCAAAATTGGTTTTCAAAAAATCCATTCTTCTTGAATGGTAAAAGCATAACATACAAAGGGGAACAGTATATTTATAAATGCAAAACTTTCAAACATCTTTATTAAATTTATTTATTTAATTAAATAATAAATATAAAGTCATGTGTTGCATATTTTTTTATAAGTTCAGATAAATAAAATTAATAAAAATCTTAATATGTATTTTATTAAATTGTATAAAGATAGAACTTTTCTGCAATTTAAATTTAAATCAATATCGCTTTTCAACAGATATCAAGAATTTAACACAATAACCGATTTATTTACCGACTCTACATTTAAATAACAGACATTTAACTATAAAACGTGAGGATATTCAAGTTCAAAATCGGTGAAAAAATTTTATTTGAACGTTATTTATATATATTTACATTTGCAAATGTTTTCTTTTATATAACACTATTGAAAGCAATGCGTATCTATATCCGTATAAACACGGGTTCCTCGCGTCATAAACATTCGACGTAATTTTTCAGTGACGTCATAAAGGGTCGACGCGCAATCAGAGGATCAAACATGTGCCGTTGGGTTTGAAAAATAAAACGTTTCACGCGTTAAAGATTATAATCAGGCAAATATAAAATATGAATAAGTCACAAATGTAAATATAAGTAATAAGGTATCATTTTTAAACATCTATCGGGCTATAAATACGGGTTGGTACGAGATCAAATTTACCATAAAGCCCTTCGGGCTTTATGGAATTTGATCTCGTGACCAACCCGTATTTATATCCCGATAGATGTTTAAAAATGATACCTTATTTCTTAACTACACTACATTTCGTACAAGTACTTTTTTTTTTTTAGCTCAGATCTCCTTCTTCCTTTAAATCACACGCCACCTTCTGGAGTAATGTCGTGATTGTCACTATGTACACGCCATACATAGCTTTAAAAATTCTAATTTTGACTCTTCAAGTTTGCAATATATGTCTACAAAATCTTCTTTAGAATTTAAAAGAAATATGTACATCGTAGACTGACTTCAAGTCAATATTCGTGTTTGTCACCACGTTGTTTACAGTTCGAATTTCCCTAAACAGGTCACTTCCGGTTTGAGGGTACCTGAATATTTCACAGTGTTTTCAATATATCACGGCCAATAGTGACATTAAAAAAGGTGCCAATTATATATAGAGGTATTTGTTCATTAACCCAAATGTATTGAAGCACTGTAATAAATTGATAAGATTGTAAACATGCAAATCCAAGATTTTCAACGATGATAATTACCATACTATTGTGAGATTTTCCCTGGTTTTTTGTCATTACATAAAGGGAAAGGTCACTACTCTAAAATTACCAACCAAAGAAATCAGCAGAATCTACAGGGAACAAGCCAAAAGCCATAATTCAAGGGTAGTATGTGTTGGGACACTTTCCCGCGAAACCCCAACTTTCACGTTGCACAGCGCCACCTATCCTTCCGGCAATGCTAGTTACGGGATTGTTTAAATGGAAAATAAACATCATAAAATGACATACCTGTGTTCAGTATTTTGTAATTTCTCCTTTCACCCGGATTACTTTTCTCATACGCCTTGGTAAAGATCTGCAGAGGCCCTGTATATATTCTACTGTCAGAGCTTGCTACTCCTTGCATCACTGTATGTGAAAGTTCAGCAGCAGTCTGAATGTTTTCAGCGCGATTATATTATATTTGAATCAGGCGACTGTGCTGGCCAGCTTAAAGAATTAATATTATTCCTAGTCTTATAATTTTCAACATCCCTGGCTCTATGTATAGGGGCAGTGTCATCTAAACAAGAAATTTCCATAATAGGAAAGTGCCGTGCTATTAGGCCAGGTAAAATTAATCTTAAGATTCTCATCCCCGCCCGCCCCTCTCAAAGTGCCCCGCTCCGTTGTTTTTTATTTTTATTTTTGGGTGTCAAAAGTATTTTCATGTATTTTTATTCAGCAAGAATTTGGGTCAAAAGTTAAGAGTTATCTTACGTCTGTATTAAAAGTCGCGTGGCGCTATTTATAGCAAAAAGCCATGTGAACAATGGAGAAAAATCGGCAATAAAAGCAGTTTAAATATGAAAGGAAAAGATAATTTGTCAGTAAAGAGAAGACAGAGAAGCAAAAATAACATAAAGACATCTAGATACTATCACTGGCATGAGCAAGTTTTTAAAGAGATTTCAACCAAGTAAAAACAGACGAAGAAAATGACACCTGGACAAGTTTTAACGATCTCCTGTTGTACTTGTATGTGATTTTGCATTTAAAAAAAAGACATCGTCGGCAGACTTTATAGAATAATGGTGCAAAGGAAATGTTAAATCTTAAAAATGTTCAGGCCTAGGCTTTCAGTTGAATATTTTACAGATTTTGCAAATATGACATATGATTTTGTTTGGCGTGTGCCGTATCTGTTTACTTGATAATTTGTTAATAGAACTATAAATATTTTAATTTTTTATAACAAGAATCTTCTGTATACATTTAAAGGATATGAAAACAATAAAATCTATTCATATTGGCATTAACATAATGTAAAGATTTTGTGTACGAAGAGTGTTTTGTTGATACTTTCAATTATAAAAAATAAAAAATAAAATCCGCCCACCCGCCCCAATTTTTTAAGAAATTAGGATGAGAATCTAAATTTTAAATTTATGTGGCCTTACGGGCCATTAATTATTTTCCAAGATTTCAGTATACTTGTGTCTGTTAATAGTACCGTCAACAGTTGTTACATTTCCCACACCATGCCAGGTTGTGCACCCTCAAATCATAACACTGACCTTTCGTTGAGCTGGGGGGGGGGGGGGGGCACACGCACTGGGGAGACAAGGCTTCATCCTTGCGATGCCATATAAAAATCCTCTGATTTGCACCCCAAAAAACTCGGCTTTCGTCAATAAAAATGACTTTATCCCCTTGACCATTAACATTCCACCTGACTCTACCCCTACACCAGTTCAGTCTCTTTTTAACTCACCTGAGCCGAAGGCTCAAGTGAGCTTTTCTGATCAAAATTTGTCCGTTGTCTGTCGTCGTTGTTGTTAGCTTTTCACATTTTCATCTTCTTCTCAAGAACCACTGGGTCAATTTCAACCAAACTGGCCACAAAGTATCCTTGGGTAAAGGGGATTCAAGTTTATTCAAATGAAGGGCCACGCCTTCTTCCAAGGGGAGATAATTATGAATTCGTGAAAAATTAATGGCATCATTTAAAAATCTTCTTCTCAAGAACCACTGGGCTTTAAAATATGAAACTTATATGGAAGCATCCTCAGGTAGTGTAGATTCAAGTTTGGTCAAATCATGACCCCCAGGAGTAGGGTGGGGCCACAATGAGAGATCAAAGTTATACATAGGAATATACAGGGAAAATCTTTAAAAATCTTCTTCTCAAGATCAGTAAAGCCATGATTGGTTATATTTATATGGAAGCATCTTCAGGTAGTGTAGATTCAAGTTTGAACTTAATTTATGAGTTGATACTGAATACTAGACTAAATATTTTGTTGATCAGTGTATTTAACTTCTAAATTGTTTTATTATACTCAGGTGACCGTTAAGGCCCCTTGGGCCTCTTGTTTGTTTAACTTGTTTATACTCTCAATTTATCCACACGTAACATTCAGGCACGTAGTTTCAGTGCTGATTCAAACTGGAAAAATGTTTCATGTCGAAAAAATCTTAACCTACCCCCTACATGGGTAAAGTTTCACTTGAAATTTCATTACTACGATGAACATGATGATACTTTACCCACGACAACTTTTTTCTTTACTTTTTAGCTCACCTGAGCTGAAAGCTCAAGTGAGCTTTTCTGATCACCCTTTGTCCGTCTTCTGTCCATCCGTCTGTAAACCTTTCACATTTTCATCTTCTTCTCAAGAACCACTGGGTCAATTTTAACCAAACTTGGTAAATTGTCAAAATGAAGGGCCAAGCTCCTTTCAAAGGGGAGATAATCAAGAAAAGACAAAAATTGGGTGGGGTAATTCAAAAATCTTTTTC